CATTCAGTGATTGATGATTGATTCATAATTTAAGTGGGCCTATATTTTTGTTATAGGCTGTATTAAGTAAAACTTGGCAGAGGCATAGCTATGATATTTTGCGCCCGGGGATGAACTATAAAATTGGCACCCCAGCCCCCTCACAGTTTAATCACATTTTTCTATTTTACTTATTATAATGTAACGTTGTAAGCCTCATTTTTGGTGCCCTGTACCTTGGCGCCCAGGGACATATGAACCCACCTGCCCCACCCTAACTACGCCTCTGAACTCAGGCTGTCTTTAATATGTGAATTTATGAATTGCAGATTGTTTAAAATAATAAACACCAGTAAAACCATATAAAAAATATAACTATAACACACACCTAAATTTTTAAATTAAACATTTACAAACCAAGTTACATATTTTATTGGGAGGTTGGGTGGGGGATAAAATTTAACTACATGTGCCATATGTAATTGCAAAATTTCTTGCACATTTAACTTTTCTGGTGGTGCAACTTTCTAACCTCAAAAATACATTTAAGTTGAACTTCACACGCTTTTTAGGTAATTAAGCAAAGACAGAAAATTATACTTGATTGTTCAACTGTTGAAAATAGTTCTTAAAAAGTAATGAAAAAACATTAAAAGATTTTTCAAGACATACCATAATATACATATATAAATGCATACTTACAAAAAGAGGATTGTTGGTGTTGACTAATTAACCAAAAGAAATCAAAATAATGTTAATTGGTTTTAAGAATGTGTTCAGAAATCACTGGTGCAATACTAAATGGAGCTTGATAAAATCTTATGAGCAGTGAAAAGTTTTCAGACTTCATCCTGGTCCATTCGGATGAAAAATGTATATTCTTATGTTTCAGCCTGCCTTGCCCTGTTAGTTAGAATTAAGACCAACCATTTTTTTAAAAACAACAGAAATAGTCTATAATTTTTTTATATCTTTGATTGAATATACTTGTAATATTTGGGGCAATTTATACAGGAAAGAAATTGATAAGTTTTCAAAGGTAAGAAGAAAACAGTAAATGTTAATTATCTTGGACTAGATGATGGTGTCTATGCTGTTCTGACACCATGGTGAAATTATTTGGAAATTTAGAGTTGTCTTACACACTGGTAATTCACACAAATTTGCAAAGTAAAGATTTGTGAGCATTTTGATGGTTCAGTAACCAAGGATGTTATATGTCCCATGCTGCACAATAAATGACACTTGAGTATTTAAAAAGATATGGAATTTTGAGAGTTTTTGGCATGGACAAAGGAACTGGAATTCAGTACCAAAACAGACCTAGAAAATCTCAGCCTCTAGTTTAATATTAGCTGACATTGATTATTATGGTATAGTGGTATGTATTATTTAATTTGTGTTGTTTCTTGGCTTTCCTTAATGATTGTACAACTGCAGTTTTGGTGCACTTAAACAGTAACATTTATTTTGTAAAAAGTTAATACATAGCTGATATTTCTCATAGATTATAGAATATTAAAATCTATTTATTAATAGAGGTAAACATGTTTATTTGAATTTAAGTCAAGGACATCAGTTTGCAGTTGGAAATTCCCAAACATGTTGACAACTTCTAGTGTTTTAAAGGAGAGCCTGACCTATATTGTGGCTTTATTGTTGTGTCTTGGCTTCTTATATCAGTGTTGTTTACTTGAAAAATTATCATTCTTGCCTTATCATCAGAAGCAGAATTAGTTTTATTATTGTGATCAGTTTTTAATTTGGATGAATTTATTTATTCAAATTATTATTCACTCGAATTACAAAGTGTGTGTTAATCTTGGACTAAAACATTAATTTTATTGTTTGGAATTGTACTGAATTCAGACAAGAACATTTAGGATTATATTATTTTAATATATATCAAAAGACTGTTAGCACATCACCACATTGAATGCCATTGACACATTATCACCTTTAAGACTACAGGTACACCAACACATTGAGTATTGGAACTTATTTGAAATACCCATGAATTCAATTGTAGTTTCATAAATTTTGATTTGAGATAGAACATTTAGAGCTGTTTGGGATTTATTTCCCAATATTCTTATTTTTAAAGTTTTACTTTGTATTCCAGGGAAATGCATTATATGTTGAAGTTTACAAAATGAATTGGGTTTTGTTCTTTTCTGTTACATCTTTTAAGACCATAGAGTCGTAATAGTAGATACCATATTTTCCTGTATATATCTTGTGGATTATATCAGATTTTACAAACCCCGCAAAGGGGGTACAGGTTATATAAGAGTGCAGGCTATATCACAAATATTTTACACGTAATAATATTTCAATATATTGTTTGAAAAACAATTCTACATAACTTCATCCATATTAATAATGGCAGAATGGGGACAAATTCACGAAAATCATCAATCTTCTTCTCCCAAATGTTGGGTAGACATTGGCCGACGATCATTTGTATTCTCATTGACAATTGGTTCTTGCACTCCTCCTTTAAAATCAGCAATGAGCTTTTCTGTCACCATGAGTTTGGCCTTTTGTTTGATGGCAACTGTTGTGATTGGTCGGTTGTTTTTCCACTGGGCCATGATCCACTGTTTCAGGTCAGCTTCAAGGTGAGGTCATTTTGTGTTAGGTATGTGAGTTAGGTATGTGACGAGAACATTTTCGTGGATTCATCTTCTCCAACGCTCTTTATTTTTTTTCTCCAACCTCTGATTACACTCACACCAATATCAAATTTTCTGCCTGTTGCTCTATCGCCATGCAAAATTAAGCATACACAATGGCAGTTAGCTTGAAGTCGGCTGTGTAAGAATTTTGTTTTGGCATTTTTTAAATTTAACAGAAAGAAATTATTTAAACTCTGCACAGCTCTTGTAGACAGCCTACACACACAAGCACTATGTACCGAGCCTGAATAGTTAATTTACATCATGCAAGCTAGATTTGAAAGTGACAATCGTGGCATTTAGCCTCAGGACCTGACACCATTGCCTATCCATTACAAGTACCTGGCTTTAGAATTTAGATATGCCAGCTGCCAGCCGGAGGCATGGTGACTTAACTTGAACTGTGCTGAGTGATGAATATGGACAGGGCTGACTGACTTGATAGCATAAATACAAATTTGCTTGTTGGGCAGGTGAGTGAAAATGTAGTAGTTGTAGTATTTTGTCATCCAAGTGTGAGCATTTACAAATTCAGTCTTTCTAAAAACAGTAATGGTAGACAATGTCAACATACACAAAAATGTTCATCAATTTATGGTTGCCATACAAAGGTGCAGGTTATGCCAATTACTTTTTTTCACAAGACCCGAGGGCTATGTGAGGGTGCAGATTATCTGCGTCTTGGGGATATATGTGGAAAAATACTGTAAACATTTTGGATGTCATACTCAATTTTACATGGAATATAGTCATATTAATATCCCATTTCCACAGCATAATTCAGCCAGTTATATGTTAAAAGTGCCAGTTTAGCAAGCAGTCAACCACATTACCATATATGCTTAAATGTCAAATCTAACTACAAATGTTAATGATATAGACCCTGATCTGCCATCACACAGTGCGAAAGCTGGCCAGGGTAATGTTTTGTTATTTAAATGATTACTCCAAGCAAACTGCAGAGACCCAGCTTTCTGGCAGATCTGGGTCTCTGTTAATTGCAAGTAGTATAAATGTGAAATATCACACAACTTGTAATGGTGGTGTATTCATTGTCTTTTCTTATTTGATGATGTAGCCTATGAGTCAGTAATTCCTAACACTAATTGGTGACATTATTTAAACAAAATGAGACCATGTTGATATATGCTTTAAATGTAGTATGATTTGAAATTGATTCATTGACTCCTTTTGTACTGCATTCAAAGGATGCATGCATAAATATAAATTTTGGCAAATATTCTCATTCATTACTTGAAATCTGTTATTTCTATTTTATTGATACTTTTTCATGGTTTCTTGATGATTTATGGAGTTTAAATTTAGTAGTTTCCAGTTGACTGGTTACATTTTCCATTTTATTAGTTTAAAATGTGATTTATGCATGGTTTGTGTATTAGATGTAAATTTTATTGCTATTGAACATGCTAATTGATGTTCTGTTTTTTTTATATTATTTCAGCTTCACTGCATATTACTTTTTCTTCCTTATCCTTTTACCTTTACAATATTGTATTGTATTGTATAATACATCCTAATAATGCATCATCAATTTTAAATGGGTTAATGATTAAAATTATGTGTATGCATGTGTGTACACACACACACACACACACACTGCACTGCTTACAAGTGGACTTTGGGATAGGGTGGGGGATAGAATGAGTGTGATAGATCTTCACCACACCTTAAGGATTTTGGTTATTGTTATCTATATGATTGACCATGGTGTTATTGCCTAATAATATTAAATTTGAAATTAAGGGATGGAATAGCAGAAAACTGAGCAGAGATATTGTATAGAATAAAACTAGCATCCATATGCAACAATTTAATCAATTACATGAACAAAATTGATGTGAAGGATTCACTATCTCATACAAATAAGAGTTAAAAATCTGGGAATTCACACCTATTGTTTAGCTTAGCCAATCAGGATTACTACTTTACTGGCCAAAAATCTTATCAGTCAGCCTTTATTAATAACTATTCTGGAAAATATCATTTTATGGCACCTATTTTAAATGGATCACAACTTCCCAAAATACTTTCTTCAGGTGTATGTCTCTTTTGGCATTTATCCACTATGGCATAACATTAGCATTGTACCCACTCCCCCCTACTATTCTAACTGTTAACAAGTGAGTCCTAATTACATGTAAAACTCAATTCAAACCAAACAGAAGAGATTCTATCCCTAACAGTCGAAAATTTATTACAGAGTATCCAGTAGATCAATCATAATGGGTACGAGCCACGGGACCCCAAGAAAATATACTACAAAATTTCAACAAAATTGTGTACTCTTACTTATAGACTTTACTAACTGTACTATGGATGAACCACTCTGGTGGCCTAGTGGTTAGAGTCTCCACTTCAGATGCGGGAGGTTGTGGGTTTGAACCCCAGTTGAGTCATACCAAAGACTTTTAAAAATGGTACTAACAGCTTCCTCGCTTGGCGTTTGGCATTAAGAGGTTAGTGTTAGGACTAGTTGGCCTGGTGTCAGGATAATGTGACTGGATTGGACACCATGCTAGACATCACTATAAACTGCAACACTGCAGACATTGTAGTGATATGACTAAAAAATTGTTAAAGCTATGTTAAAAATCTAAATCACACACACACTGTACTATGGATGTATAAATTGCCAGCAATACTATGGGTGAATTGACTATCAGCTGTACTTTGAGTATATTGACATGCTGCCAACTGAACTATGGGTGTATAGACTCTTAAGCCAGCTGTGCTATGGGAGTATTGACTGCCAGCAGTACTATGAGTGTATTAATTTTGTGCTAGCCATATTATGAGTGTATAGATTCTGAGCAGCTGTATTATGAGTATATTGACTGCCAGCTGTACTGTGAGTGGATTTACACTGCTGGCTTTGCTGGCTGTATAGATTCTGCCATCTGAACTGTGGGTGTATTGATAGTCAGCTGTACTGTTAGTGTATTGACTCTGAGTCAGCTATATTGTCAGTGTATTGACTCAGTGCCAGCTGTATTATGAGTGTATTGACACTGCCAGCTGTACTGTGGGTGTCTTTATTCTGTGCCAGCAGTAATGTGTGTGCATAGATTTTGTGCCAGTTGATTTATGGGTGTATCGACACTGCCATCTGTATTGTCTTTATTTTGATGCACCAGCTGTATTATGAGTGCATTTATACTACCAGCTGTAGAATGTATGTGCTTATACTGTGCAAACTGTTCTGTGGGTGCATAGACTATGTGCCAGCAGTATTATGGGTGTATTGACAATGTGTCAGCAATACTATGAGTTTTAATAAACTCTATGTCATCTATTCTGCTGGTGTATAGTTTGTACCAGCTCATATTGGTAGTCTGTGTACTTAGGTGGATAGATTGTGCCAGCTGTACAATATGTTTTCAGACTGTTAGCTCTTTTATAGATTTTGCACTCAGTGTTTCAGGAGCATCGGTAATATGCACAATCACACAAAGTAAATTATAACTTTAAAACTATCACTATTTCTTCCCAGGTTAACCATTTAGCAGGGTCTTTTCTTGGATTTTGCAATTTTTAGACTAAAATTATTTCAAAATTGCACAAATAAATAAATTAAACAAATTTGTGCATCATATATTTAAGCTACACCTTATGTCATTTATATTTGCCAACATCTAGAAAATTATCCCATTTTAATTGGAGTTAAGCAGGATTGACCCCCAAAGTTTTAGTTTTCATATACATGTAGCATTTAGCAGGTCACATGATAAATTCTTGAAATCTGCCTAACTACATCAAATTTATTTTGAAATAGTACACATTTTTCTTCTTTTTTTTTCTGAAGATACTTTCCTTTGGCAGTGGTCATTTTTCAGTGGGCAGAGGTGCCATATGCCAACTTCATATCATAGACAGATACATCAAATTGTCGTACTAACTTTCAATATGGAAGAAAACTAAATAAAATATTCATAAAAATACCTGCCTTTGTTTGAGGCAATACACCCAGCTGAAACTATTTTAGTAATTTTTTTATTATATTACAAGTTCCCATGGGATGAAGGTATCAAATGGAAGGTTTCTCCTGCAGAAAAGAAAAAACAATTTCTATTGTTAAATTAATGATAGCACTCATTAATATCCATCAAACAAATCAATCAAATGAGTCAGTCAAACTAGAGGATCACTGATCTTAATGGGCATTGCTGTCATAAAAACCCTGCTGACATCACTGATGGGGTTAATATCCATTGAGGCTATATTATTGCTTAGCAATGGCCCTCCTGTGACATCTTCATATCTGAAAGTAGAATGTTGCCCTAGCGATTCGAAAAACATAATAATATGGCTTACAATGTTTTACAAGTGTGTGGTAAAAAAGGATATTTGAACTTTTTAGTATTTTTAAGAGTTCAGGCCTTTAGGTCTTTGTATCATTATTGTAACATAATGGCAGTTAAAGATCCAGGGAAGTAGCTTGTGCTCCATGAAATTTTTTTACTCTGAGTTAAAATCATATGATTTTTCAGATGGGTGAGTTTCTGAAAATTGAATTTGAAAGGGTTAGTTTGTTTTATTCTATTCAAAATGAGCACACTTAAATTTTTTTTAGTATTGAAATGTACTTTAGTTTTGTAATTTACTTCAAGAATTTACAACTGAATCAAAAACAGATTGAGTAAGAATTATTATTATTATTATTATTATTATTATTATTATTATTATTATTATTATTATTATTATTATTATTATTATTATTATTATTATCATTTACCTTCATATATCTTTGCAGGGTAAAACAATGCTTTGAAACAGGAAGTCGAATTTCCATAACAAAATTGTTTCACAACCATTTTTTAAAAGCTCCTCTTGGACAATGCTTAGATAAAGATGTAAACATCAATAAGGTTTACTGAATCCTATGTCATATGATTTTCCAAATGAAATATGGCCAATGGACATCATACAATATTTAGAGCTTTGCTAAACAATGCTATAGAGATGGGACATTTCTTATATTCATATGTGCCCATATAACCAACAGGCCTGTATTGTAGATAAGGAAAGGGCCTGGGAATTTAGCCTCTGGGTCACAGCTAGAGATCAACATTGATAACATAGGCATGAACAAATTAATCTTTAAAAATCATTACATGATAAAAACATAATCTTACATTTGTGCTCATTTCAACTTACATTTGTGGAATTTGTCAAATAATTTTAATATTTTGGTAATCAATTAGACCAGTTAAGACTCAACATGACTGGCAAAAAATATAAACTATTAAACTCATTTTCAAATCTCATTTGAAATGTTTACTTGTACAATATTCTTTGTGTATGCTTTCTTTTGAAGTTTGGGAAGGTGTTGCATAATGAAATTTCAATTTTCAAAAAAATTATTGGTTTTAATGGCACTTTTAACACAGAGGCAATCAACCCTGTTTAGTCAGGGTGGGTATCAAACCTGTGATACTTGCATTGACTTACAAGCTCTACCAGCTGAGCTACCACTGTTTTATAAAAGAAGCACACTAGTAAAATTGTGATAGTTCATAACAGGTGAAGGTAGAGAGCATATTTGTTTGAAGCAAGTAAATTACAATAATAATAATAATGAGGACTTTGTATAGCACATAATCTTTAGAAGCTCTAAGTGCTTTACAACATTTGACAACACTTAAAATACATATAATGCTATTACAAAAATAAAAAACAAACACCATGAAATTAGAAACAGAAAATATGCTGTAAATATTTACTGTAAGGATGCATTATTAGGTTTTTAAGTCTGTTCTTGCAGTTGAAATAGGCGAGTTTTAAGAGCACTCTTAAATAATGAATATATTTTATTGAGTGGGTGACAAATTCAGTATTTTTTTGCAAAACCACAAGTGAAAATATTCAAGTTTTTCACCCATGAGTAGAAACATAGTCATTATTCACATGAAACAAGCAATTTTTCTTTTTATTTTGTGCTCAAATATATTGGTCACCGAGACTGAAGTAGCATATTTTTATTTCGTACTCTGCTCAGTGCAATCATGTCAGTGGTTTACAGCATATGTTCTGCTGTTTTGTGTACATTCACACAGAAAATAACAGTAGTAACATAATTCACCTTCCTAATTCAAGGTAAGACAGCACATAAAAGAAATGGAAGTAAAAAGGTATGTGCATCTTGATCTTGATTCATATGCATATGAGCCACTAAACTTACTACCAGACCATGCAGTCCTCTAGAATTTGCACAGATCTCCCCATTATAATGTTATCAATGTCTGTTGATGGGAAGTGAAAATATTACTGGTATTCCACTCCAATGAATTATCAAAATTAATTCTCATAGAAAATCTAGCAATTTATGACCTTGCAAAAAAATTGAAATAACTATTCTAATTGACTCAGAACATTTCAGCGATCTGAAGAGATCTGAAGGTACGACTTGTACTGTGTTTTTATTGTGCATACAGATATGTGCATATATATGCTACTGTATAGAAATACATGAAGGCCCATATCAATTCTTATTGTCATGTATGCCCCATCCAGTTTTACAGTATATATGACCAGTAAATTGGTCCCTCTCTTATTAATCTAGTTTTACCATAGGTGTGGTCAGCAGCTTTATAGTATGGGTGACCAGCAAAATGGTCCCTCACATATTATCCAGTTTGTTACATTTAGCAATCAAATTGATTATACAAACAAAATATGCTTAAACATGACATTTGAATCATATAAAATTACCTAATTTATTTTTAAAAATGCAATTAGCCATTCTGTTTATATTGATAAGACAAATTTTCATCATGAAATTGAGTGAATGATACTCAGTTACCCAGCATGCCTACATAACCTGGTTGCTTGCTGGTCCTTCCAACTTCAATGTTGACCAAAGGTTAGAATCAATGTATTCCTTTTCCTCTTCTCTCCCCCTCTCTCCAGCCTCTTCCAGATCATCAACCTTAATTTGGTTGTCCACTCTCTTTGCCCACTTTATGGTTGTGTTGATGGAGCAATTTCCCTTTTTCAAGCAAATAAGCAACCTAAATAATTAAGTTTTTGCTTCTGAGATTGAATATTACTCACTGTCTCATTATTTCAGGTATCATCTTTTTATAATGCACCAGAAACTTATGTTAATGTTGGTCAGTTTTGTAGTCAGACAGCTGATTCACAAACCCTAGCACAGAAGATTAATGGCTGTTGAGTACCCCTAACTGAACTAGGACATAATCTAGATCTCTTGCTAAACCCTTCTTACCACTTGCTGTTGGCTATAAATCACTAACTGGACTTAATCCTGGCCATTATAATCTCATTTAACAGAACTCCCCTCTTAATTATGCAATATTTGCTAATTAACAATTCATTGGCATGACATTTCCAGACAAAGTAATATAAATTCCTAGCCAGAATGTTTCAAATCATTTTA